TACTTCTGTTCTGTTATCGACATGTGGAAACTTGTTCTGACGTCGTGAGGATGGCACTAATATGGGTGTCTAAGTATTGCGGTAGCTTCTATCATATAACATAAAATACAGAACCAAATTAATATTTAAAATCTTTTTTCTTTCACATCATTCTGCTATACTATTCTGATCGACTACACTTACGATAGATTTAAATGTACTAAGAACAAAAAAGGTAAATATGGGGCTTTAAGATTGAAGATAAGACCTAGACATTTAAGACCGCAAAGAACATTCGGTATCTACTTTTATTTTTACTTAGCATTACTTCGCTAAGAACATTAAGATTAACCTTAGAGATGCCGCATAATATCAAAAATAGAATGCAGGTATGCACCTGGATGTAGGTGAACCTATTGTAAGACTAATACATACGTTATATTTATATATATGAATACGTGTGTTATGAAACTTAGGTGCGAGGTTGTTTATAACAAAGGTATGTAGGTACGATTACAACACGTCAATGTAAAAAAAATTAAAAGGTCTTGCTTGAATTTTTTATAAATAATTTAATTAAAACTATATGTTCTCTTTTGCATTAAATGTATGATATATTAAGGCAGACTATTTTGAACACGAAATTTTGCTCTCAATAATAATATATTATATAACAGTAAAATCTGTACCCTTCCCAACTATCGCAAATAGGTCAAAACAACTTGTAATTTTCAACACACCTTTAAACCAAATTTTATCGTCTCCCATACCCCGGTAGTTTAGTGGCTTTCTGGTTAATGAAACCTAACATTTCCTTTTCCGTGTGACATAAAATCTATCGGCAAGTGCGACATATCCTGTAGAACGAACATCAGACATTTTGTACTGTATGCACGATACCCGTGATAATCGCTGTCTAGAAATTTTACCTTTAGACGTACTACGTTTACTACTAGTTTTCCACCATACTTAACTTACGAGTAGGTATATAGCTAGGTTATTATAGAAAAATGTGTGTAATATTCAATAATAAGAAACTATTTCAATAATAAATCTGTTTTCGGAATTTTCATTTTGAGGCAGCTTTAATACGTTAATTATATTTCCTTTTAATATATTTACTACTAGCGGCCCGTCCCGGCTTCGGGTGGACATTTTTTTTTTAATTTTGTAGATATTGATATGTTCTTTAATATTGTGAAACATTTTTTTGTTCTATCATCAATAGTTTTAGGAGCGCATGCGATGAAAAATATTTTATAGGCTTTTTTTACACCTTGGGTAACACTATTGTAGTTTTAGTAGGGATCCTTATTTTCTTCTTGCAATTAAAATAGTATATATTAATTAGTGATAGTGTAGCATTCAAATGGTGAAAGAATTTTTAAAATCGATCCAGTACTTTTTGAGCCAATTCGTTACAAACATGACATGACATGTAAACATGTAAGTATACATACAAATCTTTCTTCTTTATAATATTAGTATAGAATATAACGACAACCTTGTTGTCAAGAATTGTATAAACAATTTAAATAAAAACAAGTATAAAGTGTAATTAAGAAATAAAAACATTGAGAAATTAAAGTATGTCCACGTAAAAGACCTAAAGAACCAATATATGTATCTATAGTCTATAGAAATAAGCAAGAAGCCTTCGTGTTCATTGTTCCAATACGTGACCACGTCCTTGCGAGGCCGACTGGTATTGTCTGAATGACATGCGCGTAGGCAACTTTAACAAGAGGATTAAGATTAACGTATCGAATTCAACCTGCTATGAATAGAAAAACATTTAACCTTGTAATTATGAAAGCTGTATTTTTAGTTACGATGCCTCGTTTAAAATTGGAACAACCAAGTTCAATATTTCAAAATGGTGGATTTAGCGCGTTAATCTAAGGGCTCCTATATAAAACAATTCGCTCGTGTTACAAAATAAATACGCAGAACAACCTAAAAGTTCGATTCATTCCGGAAAACTAAACAGTCTCTGGGGTATAGAAAAATGTTCCATGTTGGTATGTACTAAAAATGAAGGCTAAGCTCTAAAATCAGCATTAAGGACAAACGATTCGCGGGGGCAGCCGTAGCCTTTGTACATATATAATATTCTTAAATGAACCAAACACAAACATTTCTATAGATCTGCATATGGGTTTTTCAACACAACAAAAAATACTAGTTATATTAAAAAATACAACAAATAAACTAAAGTATGGACGTTTATAGGGTTGCCAAGTTCTATAAATTTAAAGATAATCGTAAAATAAATAGGAGAAAGAATCTATGTTATTTTTATGTCATTTTTTTTATTTAACAGGTGAAACTTGTTTATCCATCTTACCTCCTGAAGTACACCTGCAATTGTGAAGAGAACATGGTCTGCCTTTTAATTTAAGATAGATAATAAATTTATCGCAGAAATGTGATTAAAAAAACCTGCGAGAAAAAAAGGCTTACTATCAAAGTTTGAACGATTATCTAGTTGATAAAAGGGCCGTGTTACAAAGTACTCAGACAACCTAAAAAGTTTTCATTCCAATTAACTAAACGATCTCTGTGGGTAAAACATAAGTGTTGTTTGATGATTTGCACTAAAAAACAGTACCTAGACTTTACTAAGTAAAATCACTTACGGCCTACACCAACTCTTTGCCGATGAGTAGGGATGCCTATAAAGATTCTAAATTGAACCAGACAGAAATAATTGATAGATCTGTATCTTATGGGTCTTTCACATAACAAACAAATTTTATTTAATATAAACAAAAGGGGTTTCAAAGGGTTGCCAGGCGTTAAAACCGTGTTAAAGATAACCTAAAATAAGGAAGAAAGTTCTATGAGTTAGCGTATGGGAGTCTACTAGTGTTGGAGAAAATCTGCTTACGTCCTGAAGTACACCTGCAATTGTGTATTACTGAACTTTTAATAAATTTAAGAAACGAATGGAAAAAATTGTACTAAAAGGCGTACGGTAAGTGATCGTGAGTCGTGCGATTTGTACTCTAGTAGGTACAAGGCCGTTTGGTTAAGTTACTCAACAGAAAACCTTATATTCATTTGCAATTATGATTTAATAATAATTGATGATTTCAAAAATTAGATATGCAACTGTAAAAGTCCATAAACTGTTTTATCATGGCTGGCTCGGCTAAAGCGCACGGTCTTCATCTTGAAAAGAAGGGAACAAACAATAAAGCATTTTGTTTGTAGAATTAAATGATACATTTTTATTGCATTACCATACTTAACGTTATTGTATTTTACTTGATTTTACACTAATCCTTTACTGACCTTAAATGTTTGGTAATCAATGACACTGAAGTTCCATAAATATTGAGAGGTTATAAATATTTAAATTGACTTGTATATAACCAACATCAAGAGTATATAAACTAAATAATTTATTTTAGATGTACGAATGGAAATATCTTAAAGGCTCAATAAATAATCGAAAGTCTGCAATTTGTATTTATGCAGGTACAAGGCAGTATGTTAAGTTCACTCAACAAAAACTATCAATTCATCAATATACTGAGTTATGAATAATTCATGATTTCAAAAATATTAAATATAATTCTTATAAAATCAATAAACTGTTATAAACAACTAAGTGGTTAAAGCGCACGTTGTTGGAAAGTTGATAACCAAAATATGGAACAAATAAATAATCAAATTGATTTTAGAATTACAGCAAGACGATGTAATTTCTTCCTGAAATTTTTATAATTCATTAAAAACATGATAAAGAAATAACATTAAAATTATATAATAGGGGTTCAAACAAGCCTTGAGAGTCAAACAGCCATTGTTCGCTGACAAAAGCTGCTGGGTAATAGACAAGTATGTTCTTTTTTTAAAGTTCGGAGGTAGTATTTCCGAAGGTATGCCTTATGGAACTTTAATTTAAAAAATTTAATGTTAAGTTTAGGTTAGCATGGTGTAGAGCATTTTAAATTAACTTCTTATTAACGTTTGGTGGTGATTAACGAGACAAATCAAACTATTCATTTATGTAGAAGTATCAGGATATCCAAATTTGCTCCCATCACACTTTGAAATCGATTTTCATTTAGTTTAATTATTTATCTCTTCGTGTTTGTTATGTTAAATATTTTATTTTATTTTTCTTGTACCCATGTATCAGTGTGTCGAGCGTTGGCAAGCTTTTATAAATAAATAAATACTATATAACTAATCATTAATAAAAGTTCTGGCAGTTTTAGATCCCAAAATAAAAGCCTTATCGCTTGCAGACTCCGTAGTGAACGAGCGAGCGATTTTCCGATTTCATTGAGATCTGACGAATAAGGAGAACCAGCTTTAGGAGCCTCAACGATCACAGTTGCGAACATCCATATCCAACACTAAAACTGATGTACGAACGTCTTCCTAGAACCTACAAAAACACTTAGCGGTAGCCATACCCACGTCAACGCAGGTTACGTCCTTACAAGGCCGTCTTGCGTTGTGGGTGGAAACTGGTTGCGCACTGTACGGTATAGAATATCATTATGGATACTCGTGAGAAAGTTGTCTGTGATTTTTTGCTTTGAATTATTTTGTTACCGTACAGGTTACATAGTTAAAGTTGTATTAATGTTTTATGAGGTATAAATAGAGCTAATGATTGCAAGTTAAGTCTGTTGGTTTAGTATTTTATAAAATACATATGTATGTGAATATTATTACGTTTTTAGAATGAAATTATAGCGGTGGAAAATTACTATAAATAATTTTTTGTTGGTTTCTTATATGATAAACGAGAGTGCGAAATAGCCATAAAAGGCAGCCCATGGACAAAAAGGTGTGTGTTCTTTTTGTTTTGAGCTCGTATCTCTAGTAAGACCACTACTGGAAGTCGATTCCAGAGCTCGCCAGTTCGCAAAAAGAAGTTCCTAGAGAACCGTAACTACTGTTGAAGACTTCCTGCCATCGAGGTGAGGATAAAACCTGGTACGTATAATTTTTTTTTTGTGCTAATCAAACGGATGTAATAAATAAGTTACTATTAAACATTACTTACCAAGACCGCATATAAGATAAGTAGGCGGTGGTTTGAGGACGGATCGGGAATATGCTCCACGGACGGTTTCTAATGCCCGGGGTGCACCTGCCACTAACAGCACCCCGGGTGCCACGTACCCCGCATACCGGAGTTCCGCCGTGGCCGCAGCGAGAGCACCAGCCCACCAACATTTCGCATTCGCCGCGAGGAAGCTCTGAAAAAGACAATATTCTTATAAAAAAAGTTTTGACGAAAATGTATGATTTAAAGATTCAACAACAACTATTGTAAGTTTATATTTTGCGGACTTTTGTGTAATTATTCTCCTGAGATAATATATTTTAATCAATAAAATATTATATATTAGGAAACTAAAGTAATATTGTAGGTACAGACTTTTAAAATCTACGAGGTTAGGTTAGCAAAAATGCCCGTTCGCACGAAGTCTAGAAAAAAAGTGAGTCAACGCCGGTGTTGCCACGCTTTATATAGGTTTCTGCTACAAAATGGCGTTAGTCCGCTAACACGGCCTCTCCTGACACCCCCTGACGTCCTCATAAACAGAATGATGTTCCAGCGTTTATACTCTCTTCTCTTTGGGTAAAATAGAACGTTAGAACATTAAGTTCTGGGAAGGTATTGCTCGTTATTTGTCAGCAGCTGAACATTTTTTGGTTTTAATACAAACAATCAAAGTAATGAAAGATAGAAAGGAACTTTAAAGTATCAGACTCCAAGGAATAAGTGAAAGATTATTCATAACCCTGGCAAGATTTGAAACAAACTTCATTTATGTGTAAAGGACTTGTGTAAACAATTACAAGTTTAGTGTCACCATAAGTTAAAGGTGTACTTATTTCTCAAGAAGATCGTGAGTTTGGGGCTGGTTACCCTGTCCATTGATCTTTTTACCATTCATAAAGGAAGATCGTACTTTGGGGCTGGTTACCCTGTCCATTATCTTTTACCATTCATACAAAAAACATGATTTGTAACCCTGTCCATTGATCTTTAAAGGAAGATCGTAAGTTTGGGGTGGTTACCCTGTCATTGATCTTGTTACCATATACAGATAGTGGGGCTGGTTACCCTGTGATATTTTACAATTTATACAGGAAGATCGTAAGTTTGGGGCTGGTTACCTTGTCATTGATCTTGTTACCATTTATACAGGAAGATCGTGAGTTTGGGGCTGGTTACCCCCTGTCCATTGATCTTTTACAATTTATACAGGAAGATCGTGAGTTTGGGACTGGTTACCCTGTCCATGATCTTTTACAATTTATACAGGAAGATCGTGAGTTTGGGACTGGTTACCCTGTCCATTGATCTTTCAAAAAGCAAATATTACAGAATTAGATAGCTTCAGACTTAACACAAATAAAGACAACTCAGTATTTGCAATACACCGTCGTATCGACAGTGGCTCCTGTCCTTTCATAAGCGACAATTTTTTTAAAACAGACCTACACTTGTATGTTCTCAAAGTGGTCTAAACACATTAGCACCACAAAAATTTAAAACAGAACATACCTTTGCATGTTCTTAATAACAAAGACCAGATCATCCTTCTGGAATTTACAAGGGGGTCTACGACCCACATTAACGACAGTGTCCTGATTGATTTGACTGTTCTTCAACCGTTCGGCCGTCCTCTGTCAAACTCTCTCGTCTACCTTGCCGACTAGACGATCCCAAATTTAATGCGAACTCTTGCACTCTCATGACAAACCAAACACACTTTAAAACAAAAGCACTTTTAAAATGTTAATCCTCGTGACTTCGTACATTACGGACACAAAGGGAAGGAAAATTTAAACCACAAAGATTACTCAAAACAAAAAAAAGAGAAGTGAGCGAAAAGTTCAAATCCCAATTCTGATATTAGGAAAATAAAAGATAAGAACGTGTAGGTACTTTAGACTTTTAAAATCTACCGAGGTTAGGTTAGCAACAAGCCCGTTCGCACGAAGAGTCTAGAAATAAAAGTGAGTCAACGCCGGTGTTGCCACGCTTTAATAGGTTTCTGCTACAAAATGGCGTTAGTCCGCTAACAATATATTATAATATTGTAACATTCAAGTGTATAAAAAAATGGTGATAAAGAAGTATAATGATTATTTTTTTAATATGTAATATATATAAACAAATGTAGTGAAAATTACCACATAAAAAGTTTAAGAAAGTCCAAAAATCCTCCTGGCGCTTACAACTATTTATTTAAGTTAATGTTATGATTTTAGGATGTTAGGATTTTGGTACCATCTGCCCCAAACATCACAAAAAACATTTTAATGATTGTTACTAGGTATCACTTTTCATATTAAAAAGTATAGACTCTGGAATTCATTTCGATTTCGGAAGTCCCAAATAAGGAGTTGGAATGTTGAACTAGTTCCACGACTGGAATTACAAGGCATGCGTATTTTAAGGTTTATTACTATGTCCGCCTCCGCAGTATCTGTATCTTGCTATATGCCCTGTTTACCATAATATATTTATTATTACAATAAAAAAATAAAATAAATAAACGCCTTTTTATTTCTTGCAAAAGAACAGAGTAAACTATAATAATTAATCAATTCATAAAGTCCGTTGCGTCGCTTGCGCATTCTACTGAGGTATCTGAGCAGCTATCACCAATGCAGTATGCCTTACATGGGTAGGCGTAGCTCCTATAATTTGTAAATCTTACTGAATCACAAATTTCCATCTTGCGCCAGTAATTGATTTGTTCGGTGCAAAAGGACGCTGTGGCATTTGTTAGGGTAAGTTTCGAAATTCGAAATGCCAAACGAGATCATGTCAAGGCAACTCGTACAGAGAAATGCTCGCTTTCATTCTTCATCTTAGGGCGGTTACAGACTTACGTTATATAACGCGCGTATAAGCTCGTCTTTGGAAGCGCATGTAAGCACGTATAGGCGTGCCTTCTGGCACACGCGCAACTCGTGCGAGCGTTGTCGCTATATATTAAACAATACATCAAAAGTGAATTAAGTTTTGAATCGTTTTAAATTACTTCGCAGTTCTGGGTAGAGTGTATTAAATCTCTGTCTTGATGTAACCATCGATGACACCCAGCATCTTTTTCGTCTTCTCAGTCGACGGCGAATAAGTTACGCAAATAGCAATGTTTCTTCGACAGAATCCATATTGATACTGACACGATGCCACTACCGGTTCGAGCGAACACGCTGAAATATGCCAGTATACGCACATCTGGTTTTCACGCAGAAAAATACGCTAGTCTGTAACTGCCCTTTAACATACTATATATATCATATATATAAACTCTAAAAAAAACTCGTTACTTCAAAAATATATTTCCCTTCCCAAGACCAAAACTTTAAAAAAACCTTTAAAAATAAATAATTTGATACTAGAATAAAAGAAATTTTCACAACCTCTATAAATAAAATTGTTTGTAATGAGTATTTTATAAGAGTGTCAAAACAAATGGTTTCAGTATTTATTGCTTACTGTTTACTAATGTATTGTTAATAAACAATAATTACCTATTGTTTGCTTTATCTAAATTCTTAAAGTTTCGGCGGTTAGTTTTGAAAACTTACTTCATCAAAGTAATTTTAATTATTCTCCTTCTATTCATTAAAATATCTTGAAAGTGATTTTTTAAAACAAAGAATAATTTTTTAATAGACTAAACCTTTAGTTGTTGTTTTATTTTTATTAATGTAAGTAATAATTGAATAAATATGATTAATATTTAATTTTCCATCCTTCTGATGATTCAAGTAAAAATGGAGGAAGGGTACATAGAAACTGTACATACCTCTATATTAACCTTTACCTGACATAGAACTATAACTTAAAACCTCTAAACATAAAATATTGTGCTTCCCTTGAATTATCTTATCGAGGTTTATATATCATATATATAACTTCCACCCGTAACGTCACCCGCGTTTTGTGTATGTGTTGACTAAGTTATGTTTCAATAATAATGGTAATATTTTAATTTGCATAAAATGTTACGGTCAAGTTCAGTCGCGGCATGGGACTTATTACGTTCTATGTAAGGAAGAAGGCTTTGTTTATTTGGTTAACGTATTATTAACACGCTAGTCTTCAAAAGTACTAGTTCGAATTAAAAAAAATAAAAATAAATAAATCAGTGGCGCTACAATCTCTTTAGGTCAGGGCCTCATATTTCTGAATCTGTTTCATGACCATTTTTAAATCTAATAGGCAAGTAGGTGCTCAGCCTTCAGTCGTTTTTCTAAGTCTAAGACTGGTCTAAGACGTGTCGGTTTCCGTACGATGTTTTCCTTCACCGTTCGAGCTATTGTTAAATACGCACATAGAAAGAAAGTCCCTTGGTGGTCAGCCGGGGATCGAACCTACGACCTCAGGGATGAGAGTCGCACGCTGAAGCCGCTAGGCCAACACTGCTCATTAAAAAAATCGTATTATAAATCACCCACTTATTAAGAAAGGCCTATAGAGTGTTATAAGTTTAACATTCAGATCGGGATTTAGCTCAAACAATGACTCCGGTATGTCAAAATCTTAGCGGCGTTGTACACTTTTTTTGGAATGGGTAAAAAATGTTAAACTCGCGTCAGGACACGTGACCTGATCGAAAATTCGTAATACGGATGGAGAATAGACAGCTGGCGCGGCGTATTTAATGTAATATCATGTTTGTGTACGATAGCGCAATAAATAAATGTTGTAGTCTACCATATAAATGATAGTACTTTTATAGTACTAACCTTACCATTCCAAAATATCAAAAATGCACAACGTTAATATTCAAGTTTTCACTTCTGCCGGCACTCCCGGAGTGCAACCCGTCGTTTTTTTTAATTATCACGACTGAACGACACAATAGCTACTTATAACTTATTGAACGTTTAGATATTGAAGTTGTTCTACTATTTGAAGACTAATGAGAAATTAAATTTATTAAGGGCACTCAACAACTCGCTTATAAAAGCTAATCACGATATTACTAATTATGTCATTTCATCACTAACGTAATTATCAGCCAACCCTCACGCTTCTACAATACATAAGTCACTATTATTAAACATTAAGCCGTAAATTCCGACTTTAAATTTGGATCACGTGGAAAGTACATATATCTCAGTCTAAGCGCTCAGTTCATTACGAGTTAACGATTATTTAAGATTATAATTTAAATAATTTACTAAAGATCTATCGAAAATAAAGACATGCTACATCTGTTGTTCAATAGCAGTACAATGAATCTTATTTGCATGTAGACACGATTATACTTTACACCAACAAATACTTCAACAGAAAACTACTACGGGCCAGTAAAAAACACACATTTTTCTACCAATACATATGCTATGTATCGCGAACAACAGCTATATAAAACGTCTATACATGTGTACGAATGCGGTCATTCACATTTCGCACCGCCATAGTTCACAAAACTTGCCATAAAAATCTTGCTTAACGAACCAGAATTATCCATAAAGACATTAGTATTAAAATAACTGTATAATGTATATCGCGAATTTTACGATCGCTTAGCAAATTTAATGTTATTTACATTTCATGGTAACCGATAAAATTGCGGTTTTATATCACAGAGGTGTAGTGGTCGATACACACTTGATTCTTGTTATAAGTAATAATCTAGGGCACAGAAAAGTTGCACTTCAGACAATGTAGGCGTGTTAGTCTGAGTCTGGTAAGAGAGAGTGGTAGATTGGATAAATATCAAAGAAAAAAAATTTCTGCATAAATAAAAAATAAATAATTAATTATAATTGCATAAGTTGATAGAATATACTATGCAACAGCTTTACCGCGGCAGTCCCCGAGTGCCACACGTTTTTTTAATAGCAAACGAGCCCAAGGGACGCCCAAAAAGGGTAGGCATTGCAAGCCATAGACACCTATTTTAGTGGGTGCGTTGCCGTCCTTTAAACAGTTGGAGGCCGTATCTCCCAGGGAAGACCCATTATTACAATTTCATTATTTATAAGTCTTTCAAAGTTTTTAACTGTATAAGAATGTATTATCAATGGTGCGTATCATTTCTTTATAAAGGCAGGACTCACACGGGAATGTTCACTAACCGTGAATATAAACATGGGTTATTATAACGACCTATTCCTTCTAATATACGTCGTTTGATAGTAAAATGCAAATCGAATAATACTGGTTCGAAATATACACCTTGCTGTAGACCCTAGAAATGTCATTAAACGACTTCAAAAAACGAATTATTTATTAGTACGTTTAAAATGTTCTTTACAAAACCAACTAATAGAAATAACAAGGCAAAATAAATTACGCACAACAGACCTATTGAGAGTCTAAGTGCGAAAACTGAGTCCACAAACCAAGCCAAAATAAAGTGCAGAAATATCCCTTAAATACCTTGGTTTAAGAGTGTCTTATACACTGATCACTAATCTAAGTGCAAAAGATAATTATACCAGAAAGAGAAGTAAAACGGTGAATGAAAAACATCATGAGAAAACCGGCTTGCCGTAGACCCAAAGAGTCGACTTACGTGAGTCAGGCACAGGGAGCTGATCACCTACTTGCGTATTAGATTGATCATGAAACAGATACAGAAATCTGAGGCCCAGAACTAATAAGTATGTAGCGCTACTGAGTTTTTAGGAATCAAATTATTAATTCTTCTTCTTGTAGTGCCTCTCCACTACTGCAGGTTGGCGGTCTTCTTCTTGGTCGGACTTCTTCTTATACTTCGCCAAGCGCATTAGCTGTTCTACGCTGTCCACTCCCGTCCATTCTCTGATATTGCTGAGCCACGACTTCGTCTTTCTGCCAGCGCGTCTTTTCCCCTCAACCTTGCCCATCATGATGACTTGAAGAAGTCGACCGTTCGTGTCGAAGCACATGGAAATTAATATAATAATATATATTGTTGCAATGCATTTGTAGTGTTAATATAACTAGCGCGAATGTATCAACTATTTTATCTTCGTTTGAACAGAGAAATGTAGCTCAGATAACAATCAGTTCTCACATTTAGTTCCGTGATTAAATTAATTAATCGTATTGTTGTTTGACTGTTTGCATTAATTACGTGTATGTACGTTTGACCTCTGCGTGGGAATGGAAAAGAAAATGCCGATTTTCTTTTCATTTTAATATATTATCTTTTGTTATGTTTTTTGTTAACTTCCGAGTAGTTCACAAAATAGATATGAAATCCAATGCCGTTTAGTGAATACTACGGCAGTGTCACAAACATAGGGAATTAGATTCTTTTCAGCTTTTAATTGATTAAATGCAGCGTATATGCAGCAGGTTACATTTCAAGCAGACGTACAAAATATTGAACTTTAAAATATACAATCATATATGTATTACATAATTTTATCACAAAATTTGAAAAAGGATATTTTTATTCATATTATTTTTCAATGAAAATATAACGGTAAAACAATTGACTCAGCATGTTGGCCTAGTGGCTTCAGCATGCGACTCTCACACTTGAAGTCGTAGGTTCGATCCCCGGCTGTGTACCAATGGACTTTCTATGTGCGCATTTAACATTTGTTCGAACGGGCAAACATCGTGACGAAACCGACATGTCTTAGACCCAAAAAGTCGACGTCGTGTGTCAGGCACTGTAGGCTGATCACCTACTTGCCTATTAGATTTAAAAATGATCATGAAACAGATTCAGAAATCTGAGGCCAAGACCTAAAGAGGTTGTAGCGCCTTGATTGA